CTTACTTTTACTTTTTTAAATGTTCCACACTAGCAACTTACACGATGAACTATAATAATATTCCGACCAACAACAACACTTACTGGACCAACAACAACACTTACTGGACGTCCGGCGCGGAGAACAATTAACGAGATAATGAGAAACTGACGAAACGAGTTGCTTACTTTTAACGGCTTTTTCACAGAAAACTAGTTTTCGCACGTAAGCTCCCTTTTCGTAGACCAGGTCACCTATGTACAATAAAGCAAATGCATGTATAGAATTTACAACAACAACCACGCTGTCAAGTTTAAATAGCGGCAAATCAGTTGTACTTGATAGTAGTAGGTTGAATAAGGAAAATGAATTACATAGCAACAAGAGTTTAGGGGGTATGCATAGCTCAGTGGTTAACGCTTGTGACTTTGCACATCGATGTTGCGGATTCGATCCATGCTGAAGTCTAGAAAAAGAAGTATGATGAGGAGATGTGATGAACTCCGAAATATGTGCTATAACTTCTACCGCTTAGACTTTGTTGCTTTTTCCATTTTTCCCTATAAACATAATCATGGTAAAAAGCTCAATAAAAATAATAAACATTTTTACAATTGCATTAATTTTATTTCAGGTAAATGGTATCTCCCAGCTGGACGCATGGAGAAAGGTGAAACCATTTGTGAGGCAGCTGTGCGTGAGGTGTACGAGGAGACTGGCCTTAATGTGGAACTCACCACACTTTTGGCCATTGAGGTTGCGGGTGGTTCTTGGTTCCGTTTCGTGCTCACTGGCCGCGCAACTGGTGGCATACTGAAAACACCCGCACAAGCGGACAATGAATCGTTGCAAGCTAAATGGATTTCCAGGCTCTCCGAATTGCCGCTGCGCGCCAATGACATTCTTAATCTAATTGATATTGGACGCTCCTACAAAGAGCGCGCTTCGGCACCACAGGCGCTAATGCACCATCCAGACGTTTTACCAACCAAATACTCACACCACAAGAACTACTTGCGCGTAGTGGCAGTCATACGCAAACGCGCCACCAATTCATTGAATGTACTCGTTAGTGAAAAGATAATTTTTGTCTACTTAATTTTTTCAGATTAATTTTAATAATTATTTATAAAAATATAATTCATTCTATAACAAGAGCCATAATCCAAGTTTCAAACTTTGACAAAAATTTATAAAAAATCAACAATGTTTTACCAAAAGTTCACACGTTTTATTCAAAACTTTTACTTTTGGGTATGCAGTACCTTTATAACGAATCTTAGCTATTTTTTTTTATATGGAAGGAAATGCGCATCACTGTCAACAAAAAGAATTGTGAAAAATTAACTTGCACTTTATACTAGAATTGAAAGGGCTATACAACTGCATACCCAAAAAAAAATTCAGAATAAAGTGATGGAAATTTTAGTTTCAAACAAATTTTTTGTTTTTAGTTATAGAATAAACCATATTTTTAGTTAAAAATATTAGGGAAAAAATGGTAAAAACTTATTAATATGCGGGTGACCTTATAATTATGTCACTGTCTATATTATATGTACGTATGTACAACAATATTTATTTTTTAAATATTTTGCTTTTATATACACCGATCATTGTTTATTAAGTTGCTGTTATACAAATTTTTATGTTATAAATAAAAATTTCCTGTTAACTCTAATTAATACTGCGTCATTAGTTTCTATGTCAAATTTTTGAAATTATCTCGGACTGAAGTAAAGGTAAGTGAATTAATTTAGGGCTTCACAGAAAAAATTTTACACTGACGAATTGATAACAAGAAACAAAGTATGTCTGGTAAAAGCGAAAGATTTGCACTTCATATCACTCATTTACTTCAACACTGTTATAAATTAAAAAAATCCAAAACTCTGGAAAAACGGCTTCAAAGTTTTGTATTAACTAATGTATGTATACTCCCGTAGTTAAAATGAATACTTACGTATTTTGTTCTACACTAAGAAAAAAGTAATATGATTTTTTAAAGTCTCATATTTGGTTTTTCCATATTAGCGATTAGAAATATTTGAACAAAAAAAAAAAATTTAACAAACTTTAACATAAGTTTGTTTAATTGATAACAAAGTTGTGTTTTCTAGAAATTTTCATCAAGAATCAGTTCAGCTTAATAATGAAATTTCAAACACGCCAGTCTGTAACTTGGCAACATTTTGTTTGACCGATCACAGAATGATGATTTTTATAGAGGGGAAGAAAATTCAAGCACTCCCAATTTTTCACTCACTTACTATTCTGCGTTGGTAAAAAAAATTTTGTTACCGGTAAAAAATGTTCCCGGTAATATTTAAACCCTTTTCGCATTCTGCGCACTGGTAAATTTTGTTACCATCTCATAAGCAGGGAACAAAATATTGCCCCGTGAAGTATGCAACACCAGAATTTATACAAAACTTCAAAACTGAATTTCTGAATAGATTAAATTGTTATCAAGGTGCTTGGAATTGCGGTTACAAGAAGTGGTGTTATTATTTGGTAACACTATTTTCCGCTGTCCAAATGTTCGGTAACAAGCAGAATAGGCCTGTTAAATGAAATATGAAATTTTGACATTTGTGTACAAAGGAAAATCAAATGAGCTGTTCTAATAGCACCACTTCGTGTATATGGGTCAATCCATATTAACAATTGAAAAATAGATTTGCCTGAGATACTACTTTGTGTTCTGGAGGCAAAATAAACTGACACGTATTTTTGTATTTCAGCATATTATACGAAATTTGCAAGTTACAATTGTTTAAACTTTTGAAGTGCAAAAAATTTAAGATATTTTAAAACGTTGTAGTTATGCAACGAATTCTTATAAACTGTTCTTATACCTGTTTTAAATCTTTATAAGCAAATGATAATAATAAAAAGTACCAATCTTTGGAATCGTTAATTTTGTGATTAAATGAACCTTAAGATTAAAGATTATTTCATAAAGTTTTCACAGTAAGTAGTTCAGGAGTTTCTGTTTAACAACTAATTGTTCAACACAATATGCATTGTATATCACATATGTATTGGATTTGCAGATTTTTGCGCAATGTGGCTATAGAATTCATCGATATTTACCAAAAATTCATTTAATTTTAGGTGCAAAGTTGCAACGTTGCAATTTAGCGCTCATTTTGTAGTTGGAAAACCAAAAAAAAAACGTTTGCTAGACTTCTACGTAGGAACTTTACACCTAAAATGCTACAAATCGTTAACTCCCCTAATGATTCTTAAGCAAATACTTAATTTTTTATACAATTTTTGAAAATTGGGAATGACACCGCCCAATATCAAATATGTTTGTCTTGGGAACCGACTCCCCAATCCGGACCATATTTTAGAGGGCATGGTTTCTTTCAATTTCAAAAATTTCAACATGATGCTAAGCAGCAGCTGACAGCGGTTTGAAAGTGTCAAAGCTGAGGAAAAAACTAGCATAACATTAAATGCCAAAAACAAAAATTTGTAGGCAATCTCAGAACTCCATATTGCGTAAACAAACCGAATTTCAAGTTGATAGCATCACAACAATGAAGTTGATGCAAGTCGTCTAGATCGGGTATATGGCGGCTATATGATATAGTGCCTCGCACCGAAAGAAATCTAGTAGGACAACTCAGAACTCTATTATCTTCATATATAGACGTTATGCCAAAACAATCCATATTTCTCTTTTCAATCTTTTACTTCATACATACATACATAGTTAATCCATACCAGTCACAGTTTTAAATATTTCTATGAAGATTATGTTAGCCGAATTTTTAAAGAAAACAAAAACGCGTACTACATATATATTTCACACACAATAAATCAGCCTTGAAAGTTAAGTATTGTGTTTAAATTCTTTGAGGACACAATGGTAAAATAGAGCGATTTCAGCTTCCCACCGGTCACATTAAGTCAAATAATAGTTACAAAGAACTTAGAAATTGGTTGGTATTATTTTAAGGAATTTCATACATCAGTTATTTGCCTGTGTTAAAACATATATTTGTATAAGGTCCGACGACATAGTTATAATGCACAATTGATCAAATTATGGAGTTAAATATCCCACCAGTCACAATGGAGTGGCCTTGACACTATTTAGTATAATGAAATGCCAAGTTATTCGACCTTGGATTCTTAAAAACCTGTTTAAGTGTTTCCACCCCGCTTTCTTTGGATTTAGTTGACATTTGCTAATTAGTGTGTGTGTTTATGTAGAGAATTTCGCCATTTCACATGAATCAGTATGCACGGTTGCACTTTTTAGTATCTTAAGGTTTGTTCGTTCGTAGGATTTCGTTGAAATCTGTAGTGCGATTCACTACGCTATTTTAACAACACTTGTTACTGTTAAGCCTGCTGAGCGACAATTTGATCAATTTATCTATTCAGTAAACGTTTCCCTAACAGCATTCATTAGCGCAAAATCTGTTGTCGGTGACGATAACAAGGGCTGCTTATTTGAGAGGATTATTTGTATAACCGGACAAAATTATAAAATAAAACATGAAACTTAATCATAATTAAGGATTAATAGGATGAAAATCAAGAATGATAGAATACAAGATTGCGCCCATCAGAGAGGATTTTTGAGAATAACCTTTGTGTGACATCACACTGGTGCAATTGCGATAGAGAAATGCGAAAACTTGAGCAAGAATGGAACAAGAAGAAAAAATGTTGCAAGGAAAACGTAAACAAGTTGCACAAGTGTGACGCCATACAAACAAGGATTCTGTCAAATTCACTGAGAGAGGAATAGCGGTACCATGTTGGACGCAACCTCTATTTCTCTCAATCGTGGATGAAAATTACTTATTATAATAACTTTAGGATCATTTTCGTAAAATATTTAGTTATATTCAGTTGCCATAAGTCCACAAAAAACTTTTTCAGAAAAATATATGAACGGAATTCGTTTTGCTAGAACATACGTATTTATCACAACATTGACTGTTTTCAGGTTGACATATGTCAAAGGGAAAGCAGTGGAGGAAGTTTTCATGGCTACCATTCAATAGATCAGTTATTTAGCTTTAGGAATAGTACCTTTTATTGGACTTATGCAACAATTGGTATATCTGACTTTTGACCGGTTTTTCTGCATAAATACTCTTATGTGCGACGTCTGGTTTGGTGTTGTTAAAAAACATAAAAAGTACGTTCTACAATTTTTTTGTATGGAAAAAAATGCACAGCACCGCTAGCACAAAAAGAAAAAAAATAAGCTTTTTTCTATATATTTTTGTGATGTTGCTTTGACCATGGCTTGAACCCATGCGTTGCGGAGTGGAAGCGCGCACTGCTTACCACTACACCACAGCGGCCGACAATTATTCTGATAAAAAACTTGAAGTTTTTAAGAAAGTTTATTGAATTTTGTTTAAATATTGCACAGGGTTTATAACTAGAGTTTATACGGTTTAGTTACAAAATAAACTATTAAAAAGTAATATGTATAAATTAAATAACAGAAAAAAATATAGGGTTAAAACTTGTCTATATGTGTTCAGGTTATAATTTTTCAATACAGCGTAAAACAAATATGGAAAACTGGAATTCAAAAGATGATAAGTCTATTTTTTTAATTTTACAGGAACTGAATATGCCTTGAATTTAAAGGAATTGAATAATTAAAGTTTTCAATTTGATACGTGTACATCGTTCATTAAAAATGTAAATATCATATGTATATGGTTGTGCATCAAAGCGGTCCGAAAATACTTGTGAAAAAGTAAAGTCGGAGTTTTAATGCCGCCACCACTGGGATGGTTCTATACCGAAAAAATATGTTCCCTTTTTTTTTTTGAAAAAAAAAAATTTAGGGCGTGCTCAAAGCGCCCAAAGTCTTCCATGATCGTGTATGGGGAGAACACAACTATTCGTTGAAATAGTGTAGAGCTCCAGAAAATCAATATTTTTCGATCGGAAAATTCTGTTTCTGTTTTAGGAGATTCCCAGTAATAATACCCAATTATTTCTTTAACCATTTTTTCATGGTAACTATATTTTATAGGAACCGTGAGGCGAAACACATACACAAAATCAGCTGATCTAGTAACACCACCTTATATAAATTCGCCTTGGGTTTTTGTTCACATTTTTGTTTTTCGAAATTCAATTTTTGTCAAATTACTTTACTTGATTTGATGATTATTTTATATTTTATTGCAACATGATTATTTTATTTTTAAGGGAAAATGAATGAAAATTAATGTTTTGGTATGGAAATGCACGCAAATTGTATTAAAACAAACGCGTTTTTGCAGTATTTCGCTACGGGAAGGTTCAAGTGAGTAATTGAAAAAGAAGAAGGAAGCAGGAAAATGAGTTATATATATGTATGTATATGTGCTTATTATGAGGTGACTTCTACACGACGCGCAAGTGTGCCGAAGTCGAGTCGTCACGGATTCGTTTCGGAATGAGGAAACGATGGCACTACTATGATTAGGCGCGTAATATACGGAGTGCTAAGGCACTCACTGCTCAAAAAACTGAAAGTCCGGTACATACATATGTACGTAATATAAATTTTAAGCCGTATTTAAAAGCGCAGTTAGTCAACGACGTAGCGTAAACGTAGATGGACGTACGTAGCAGCATATGAAATTTACTGTTGATAGAGCGAGAGAGAAGCAACGGCAACGTCACCGCCATGTGGTGGTGAGTTTTGGTTAACACGCGAATCCCATAAGGTTGATCGTGTCTGCGTCAACCTACGTCTACGCTACGTCGTTGACCGTTTGAGCTTTAAGAATAGTTGCCTAACTTCGACAATTTTTATGCGATCGCAATAAATGCGGTACCAGTTTATTTGAAAATGGGTTTAATATTAGATAGTGCTACATACGTATTTTGAAATTGTAGGAATAAGTTTTGGTCAAAAGATAAAAAATTAAGAAACAATTTTTTATTTGCCCGATGAAAACTTCTAACAATCCAAGTCTGACAATAGATTATTATACCTATAAACCCTCTTCTCACAACCTGTTCGATCTTTAAAATTGAATGCAAACCAGTCATCATTCAAAAGCTGATAAATCTACAAAACCGTACTTTCTGATCTAAAATTACAAGTCGCGATCTCTAAATGATTTTTGAAAAATCTTTAAAAATATTTCCAAAAAAACACAATAAATTTATTGTAATTTTTATATTTTTTAACATGTCATTTATTTTTAATGTTTTTTTAAGTAAATGCGCTTTTAATGAAATTTACATTATGTAAATATTTTTGATATACAAATGCATACAACTGTACACTAATATGTGTATGTATAGATCTCTAAAAAATACAAGAGTGCATTGAGTAACCAAATATTTGTAAGTAAGTGTTTTCATGCTTCTTTATGTTTGTAAATATGTTTTCATTTATGAAGATGGGCGCACGAAGGAACAATAAATGCGATAAAAATATTTCTGCTACGGTAGAAAAAATTCGTTTGTTTTATTTTTTAAATTGATCTCCGTTCATGGACTATTTATGTAAGTAAATATGTGCATACATATGTATCTAAGTTTGGCCATGTTTCACACTAAAGGCTATTTGTTTAATTGCGAGACCCCATACATTGCAGTAATTTACATGTATGTATATATAATTTTTTGTACATACATTAGCTGGATCAATTGACTAGGTGGTTATTTCTGCACTTTGTCTTTTAAATCTGTAACTAACTAGCGTTGTTGTAATGCTACACCGCAAATGTTGCTACTTTACATTTATGTTCTTACTTGTTTATATGTATATTTACAACTGTAAATTAAGACATACAAATATGTAAATGCATGTTATTATGTGCATGCATAACTACATATTGACACACTTATGAGCGTATTGGGTTTCATTCCTATATTTTAGATCAACTATGCACTTCTATTCGCATCGCAGGTATTACTCATATTTCCTTGTCTATGCTTTCCAAACTTTGTTGAATAGGTCCATGAACGAATCATAGATCATGAAGGTAATGGCTACATCCAGGCAAACACGACCTAGACGCGGCACTGTGCCCTTGTAAAATGCTGTCACACCTTCATTACGCCAAATCTGCAAAGCACAATCCGCTGTGTTCTTATACTTGGCTGCCTCTAGACCCTGCATGCGTGTCTTCACCACATCAAGTGGTGTATTGCCGAACACTGAGGCCGCACCAGCTACCGCACCGAAAGCACCCACTACTAGCTTAGGCACATGCTTATTCGGATCTTCACCCTTATAGAGATCCTTCAGCGATTCCATTACGAAGAAGCGTATCGCTTGATTCGAGCCCTGCTTGAGAATGGTGGGTGTAAGTCCCTTGTAAACACCGCCAAAACCTAAAAGCAATGTGTGAATAAAGCGAAGACTCT